TTTATTTTTGAGACAGAATTTCTCTGTAGCTTGGCGCCTGTCCTGGATCTAGCTTTTGTAGACCAGGCTGGCCTCGAACTCACAGAGATCTACCTGCCTCTGCTTCCTGAGTGTTGGGATTAATGGCATGTACCACCACCACCTGGCTAAATTGTTTTAATTTTTAGAACAATTAAAATATTTGACATTATAATATAATTACATAATTTCTTCCATTCCTTCCTCTAAATCCTCTTCTATACCCTTCCTTGTTTTCTTTCAAATTCAAATGGCCTCTTTTTCTTTAATTATTGTTATATATGTTACATGTAACAATATACAATAATAGATAATAAACAATGATAATTATTTATTCCTAAATACATAAATACAATATGCTTAGTTGGTATAATGTTAGTTTATGCATATTTTATCTGGGCTAACCATTTACTGATGGCCAATTGTGTGCTCTTCCTTGGAGAAGACGATTCTACACTCAGCATTTCTTAGTTATCTCTAGTTCTCTGTGTAATGTTGTGGCCTTGGGAGCCTTTCCCTCTCCACATTAGTATGGTCTACTTTCATTTCAAATGATGTGTATATGTGTGTAGGTTTGAGTACATGAGTGTCATGCCTGCAGAGACCAGAACATGTCAGATCTCCTAGAGCTGGAGTTACACATGTGTAGCCAGACTCTCAAAAAAGATGTCATTTGAGGAACAGGTTTATGTTCTGGATAATTTTCTCCTTGCATATTTCTGGACTCATACAAAGTCCAAGTATACAGGTGGCTTGTAGTTCCTGAGTATGAAGAGAACAAACAAAAAGAGAACATAGAAGGGATAGGAAGTATATACCTTTGCCCTTGAGATAACAAAGTCACCCACTTAAATTTGAAGGCTTAAACCACTTCAAACTATATCTCTTATATCATCATATTTTAATTGCTTATCAGACTTCACTTTCAAAGGTACCCATCATTATTGTTTTCCTCAGGGAGAGAAATGTATATTGTCTTTTATCTCTGTGCCCTGATCTGATACAGTATCTGCATTTGTCAAACGGTATAGTCACAGCTCAGATGTCACAGTAAGATTGGAAATAGTACAGTACTTTCTGGTATGGTTTTGAAAACTTGTATCTTTTCTAGGTAAATAGATGTAGTTTTACAATGGGATATACACTTCCATTCTAAGTCTTATCATGCTGATGTTACATAAAGCATGTCCTGAGAGCCACAAATGAACAAGAACTCCTTCAAGAAGAAAGGCTATAGCAAGATAAAGACATCAAAGCTATCAACATTATATGTTATTCCAAAAGAAACAAGTTCTTGCCAGGAAGGATCAGACCTTAAGGGAAAGGATTTGCTGTTACAAATACCACTGAGACATTCAGAAGAGAGACGGAAATTTTCAGGAGGAGGAGATGTATTTACCCAGCAGTCCACAGTTCTGTAAAAATTTCTAGTTAATGCATACAAAAGGCAGGAACTTTGATATACCCACTGGGAACCTAATGTTTCAAGTCTGTATAAGGAAACATCAAAGAATGCATAAAGTGAAAACGTCTAGTGTTAGATTTTGAAAACTTTTAAAGACGTTTTAAAAAATTTTCAAAATAAAACCTAGTCTCACTAAAATCCATTATTGTCAATTTACATCCACATAGATTGATTCCCAAGTTGCTAAGCACAGAAGAAAGGTTATGGCTCAGTGGTCCAACAAGTCCTTCAAAGCCCCATCTCTGCCAGCCACTGCTAGAGACTATGGAGGATTTAAAGGGCTTTTGGGTAATTATTCTGCCAGTAGGGAAAAAAGTTGTGAAAACAGTAATTGCTGATGTCTTTTATAACACTTATCGGAAAACCAGTTTCAACATCAACAACTTATTAATAAGAGCTAAAACAACAAAAACCTCAGTTTTGTTTCCAAGGACTATTCTACTCCACCTGCACATCTAATTCTTCCTTTCGTCCTACTCTGTAAGCATTCTCACTCTCTTGTTACCTTCCCACTCCTCCCTTATCTCCTTATATACACCAATACACTTTTGTTGTCTGCTAGAATTTTGGTCTTGAATGCCCTTCCAAGGTCTCTGTGTTTAAAGGCTTGGTCCTCAGTCAGTGACACTATCAGGAGGTGGTGGGGTCTTAGTGTGGTGAGGCATAAGGGAAACTTTCCAATGGCTGGGGACATATTTGCTGAAGAAGATTTGGGGCCCTGGTCTCTCTTCATTCTCTTTTGCTTCCCAGGCACGGTGAGTGGTTTTGTTCTGCCACGAGCCCCCACAAATGATGCCCTAGCAGGAGCCAAGACAATGGTGGCAGTCAATCATTGACCGGGTATAAATAACCCATGAGTCTAAATAATCCTTATATCTTTATATATTAATTCTTAATATCACTTGTTATAGGGACAGAAAGCTAATTAGCATCTTGTTGTTTGATTATTTATCTTTCCGTCCCTTACCTGAGTGCATGTTATAGAAAAGGGTGTGGAAAGCAAGAACTTTGTTTCTCTATTCCACTCCTCTATCTGCAGTTACTGCAGAATTGCCTCATCCACAAGCGCATGCACGTGTGCACTTGAGGAAGTTGGTTCTTTTCTCCACTAGGTGGAACCTAGGCTATCAGGTTTGCCAACAAATGCCTTTTCCCACAGAGTCACCTTGCCAGTCCATGGAATGTTTTAAATAAATAAATGTATTTGTTTAGGTGGATGAAAAATCCTGTGAGTTACAACACGCCTTTAAAAAACATAACAGTTTTGAATTTCAGAGAGTATAGTAGTTGTATACAAGAACAATTAACAAATTCAGGAAGGATCTACAGCATTCGTGTTTTACAACTTATTATGAAATATAATAGTTATTACCTAAGGCATATTAAAATCACAATTCATTTTGAGTTTTAAAACTGCTTTCGTCATGTTAGGAAAGAAGTACCACACCTAATATGAGTATTATTTACATCAGAAGTGTATTCTACAGTTTGCTTTCTGTTGCTTGATAAATACTATGACCAAGACAATTTAGGGAGAAGATTTGTTTCCACTGCCAGATTATAGTCCATCTTTGTGGGAAGTCAGAGCATAAACTAAGTAAGACAAGAACACTAAAAGGGCAAGGACTTGAAGAAGAAATCTTAAAGGAATGCTATTACTGTCTTGCTCTTAGTCTTATTCTAAGTTATTTTTCTTATATAGCTTAGGTATACCTGCCTAGGGATGGTACTGTCCACCGTGGGCTGGTAACTCCAAATCTATTAGTAATCAAGAAAATTTCTAATAGACAGGCCCACAGCTAGTCTGATGGGGACAATTCTTCAGTTGAAGTCTCCTCTTTCCAGGTATGTCAAGGTGACAACCAAGATGAACCATCACAAAACCACCCTCTCTAACCTGACACACAAACACCTCACTGTTAAACCATAATCTTTCCTTGTTCCTAGAATCTTATGTTAATGTCACAATATAAGACATGGTCCAAGTTTTAAAATCCCATAACATTTAAAAATTTCAATACTTTGAAAGTCCAAATTTTCTTTAGAAATCCAGTGTTTTAACTATGGGTTCTTGTAAATAAATACAAAAATTAAATTTTTATTCTGCAAAGGATAAACTGGGTCATAACTGCAATCAAAACAAAATCACAAATCAAAATGTAAGCAGTTCCATGTCCAGTCTCTGGACCTTACTCATAATCTGGCTCTAACTGAGGCAGTCTCTCTTCTTCCAATTTTCCATTTGCATCATGCATGGTTTATCTCTTGGGCTAAACTTTACTTCACGCCTGCTGCTGCTCTTGGTGAATGTATCACAGTTATGGCATCTCCATTATCCTCAAGTTTTGGCTACAGCTTTGGCTACACTTTCACCAATGCCCTTCTTCAGGGTCTGTGACCCTGCCATCTGTTGGCAAACTCCTCTTCGTGTTTCCTTCAGTACTGCAGTTTCATGCCCTCAAAAGCAACACCACATTGAATATTCTTACACATTATTAATTTTGGTTGCCAGTTTGAAGTACAACCCCCTTCCTGGCACCCAGCACACACCTTCTGCCTATTGACTCTTATAATTTCACATGAGCTAATTTACTTCATATCAGTCATGACTGGTCCTTCAGGCCCAATTGTCTAGTACTTATTTTCCACCCAGTGAAGCACAGATTTCACTTCTCTGGATTCTTTATCCAAAATATCCCATGAATGACCCTCGTAGAGTCTTTGCTTCCGTCTAAAGCTTATGATACGGGCTTCCACTGTCTGTCTTGCTCTGAGCATTGTTTTCTAAGTCTCTACAATACCTCACTAATCTCTGAGCATGCAACAGCTTTTCCTGTTCAGATTCTAAACACTTACACAACCCTTCCCCCAAGATAGCATGCTCAGGTCTGTCACAGAAACACCCCACTTCTCCTACCAGTTTCTGCTCTCATTTCTGTTACTGTGATAAATACCATCACCTAAAGCAGTTTGATTAGGAAAAGGCTTATTTCCGTTAGCAGATACAGTGCATTTTTGAGGGGAGTCAGAGAAGTAAGTCAAGGAGGGCATGAACTTGAAGCAGGAAACATAAATACATTCTGCTTTGTGGTTTGCTCCCATATATATATTCCTAGGAAGGTGAGCCTGGGGCATGCGTGTGTGCGTACATGTATACACACACATACATACATACATACATATGTACATACATATATATACACTACATACACACACACACACACACACACACACACACACACACACACATATTCCCCAGGCTCACTTTCCTAGGACTGGTATTGCCCACAGTGGTGTGGGCCCTCCTACATTAGTTAGCAACCAGAAACATGTCCCCACAGACATGCTCACAAGCCAATCTGATGGATGCAATTATGCAACTGAGGTTTCTTTTTCCCACAAATGTTATGTTGATCACTAAGAATAGACATTATAATGTCCAAAGATTAAACCTTAAGTTTGTAATCATTAGTTCACATCTTGAACCCAATTTGGGCTTCTGTGTCTTGTTTCCCAGCTGCTCTATGAAGATTCTCTGGAGAAAGGGAACTTCCTTGGATTTCTCCTCGGAGTTGATGAAGTGGAAGACGACGAGCTTTCTCCTAAATGTTTTTGTCAGCACTAGATTATTTGAGGATTGTTCCATCTTCCTTGTGACCAGAAGGCAGTGGAAATAAAACAAGCTTTTTTTTTGGAATTGTATATTTTATTAAAATGGAATCATGGTTGTCTTTCGAGCTTTGTGTTGTAAATTAGCAAATTTTGCACTAAAATAAATAATAAATGAGGTTAAAAGGTTTGGGGCATACTGTTTATAAACTTGAATGGTAAAACCACTCATTTTAAATTATCTTAAGTAATAATAAACAATTTGTTTATAAATAAATAGTTTGTCAATGAAATCATTGAGATCAATAAAAGAATGAAGAATTTAAATGAGTAGGGTTTTAGTGAGTATGTATTGTACCTGGTATTGGATATAATTCAAATTACACTAATGGGTCTTTCATTAATTATAAAACAATTTTCCATTTATCCATGTTACAATCCATCTGGCATACCAGCGGCACATTCAGAAACATTTCTGCCTATATTTGAAAGCAATATTTTTGAAGAAGTTTAGCCTGGGAGATCTTTGAGTTTCTTAATGACTTCTAACAAATTTCCTACTCTAAAAGTCTACTAAAATCAACATTAAATAAGATATTCATTCATTTTCAAGGAGTGGTTTGTAAGGATCTGTTACCTTTGAAGCATACAATGGAGTTCTTAAATAGTAATTTGAAGACAGCTTTCAATAATTACAGAATAGTAACTAAGTTTCAAATTGCCAAGTAAATTGGTAGGATGTAGAGTGAAACAAGTTCTTATTATAAGGCTAAGGTTTCCCCCTTCTTCTTCTCTTCCTCCTCCCCCCTCCTTCTTCTTCTGCTTTTATTCTCCTCCTCTTCCTCCTCCTCCTTTTCTTCTTCTTTTTCTTATTCTTCATCTGCATTGCTATATCTTGGGAAAGAAAGTTTTAGATTAATCTTTTGCAGCTTTTTAGTTGAAAGAGCCGTATTCAGCATGTTGAAGTTTCTAGAATGATGCATGGTAGTCTTCTCCACATAAGAAAATAGATGAATCTAGTAAATTCCAGGCATATTACAGATTTAAGATACATGGTTTCAGCCTATGAATATATTGGCAACCAGGATCGTATAAGAATTTTTTTCTTAAGAAAAAATTACAGATATTTCCTATAAAATCTGTAAACAAAAGAATGAGGACAGAGGAAGTGCATCCTCTGTCGTGAAGCTAAAATTACTATCTAGGCTGGAGTGAAGGTGATCTGAAGAGGAGTTTCCCAGGCTACATAGGGCCTGACGTCTCTCACCTGCTGTGCATAGCTATACCCAGAAGGATGTGTAAACAAGATCCACGATGAAATGGGAAGTCACTTATGTTTGTGAAAGCAAGACATTTGTGGTTCTGAGGAATTTTGTATCTTGTATCATAAACTGTGTATATACCCTGTTCGAAATAAACACCTAGAGTCAGAAATTCCAAGTTGGGTACTATTTACTGTGAACTTTTCCATTCAAAAAGATTGTTTTTATTATTTTATGTGTTTGTGTGCATGTGTTTGTGTGTGTGCACGCACACACGCATGTGCCCACGGGGAATCCCTTGGAACTGGAGTTAGAAGTGGCAGTTAGCTGCTTTGATGCTAGGAACGTAACTCTTGTCCCAGCAAAAGCAGTTCACATTCCTAATGACTGAGCACTCTCTCTTGTCTCTGAAGTTTTTTCTTGTTCTAATATTTTATAATATTTCGTAAGTAAGACATAGCCTTAAGCTGTCTTATGAATCTTTTCTTTTAAAAATATGTGCAACAATAAAACTTTTGGAGAAAAATATTACTGTTTACATGATGATTGAGAATCGTGGAATGTTGCCCCTGTACCTACAAAACATACTCCTGAGACAGTCTGTATAATAAGAATGGGAATGTTTTCTGGTCGGCAACTTGTATCCCATAGCCAGAACTGTATGAATAAAAGTGAACTGAAGTCCATATTTACATAATTAATATACATTTCTCCTGGTAAAGTTAAGAAAATCTTGGTAATTTACTGCATATATTTAATTGACGAAATGCTCGGTTTTTGAAGCCTGAAGATGAAACTCCCTGAAAATAACAATATTCAACAACAAAATTTTGCAAAGATAGTGTGACACTCAGAAAAATTATATCTAGAGCAGAAGTTGAGAAGAATAACTGTCAGTGGGCGGGATTATAAAAAGACTGGGGATGCGTTTTAGAGGACAAAGCCTTTGTCCCTTCTCCCTGCAGGCAATCCCTTATGTTCTAAAATCTATGTGTTGTACAAAGTCATTTGAACATTGTTTTATAATACTTTCTAAATATTCCCTAAAGGATTTGTTTATTTTAATATGTCTCCAGGATGTTTTGGAGAAATGTTTAATGACATAGGAAATGATCATAATAGAAATGAAAACCAGAAACAAATTATAAACTCAGTGGCATTTCTTTTCTGTAGTTAAAGTCACAAAACAAATATAGAAAAGTGCACATTAGGAAATAAACCCTTTGGGGAATTCTTAAATTATAATTTATTAAAATCTTTCTCTGTACAGATATGTACTTTTCAAATACTTAGCATTGAACAAATCCTCGTTCATTCTTTTGGGGAGGGAGAGGGCTCACTATGAGCCTTGGCTCTTATTTCTTATTGAAATGTTATTTTTCATATGGAGAATTGTTAATGAATTTTCTGGTGTGGGAAAATTGTCTGTATTTTGTCAATCATGTTATAAATAAACGCTGATTGGCGAGGCAGGAAATATAGGTGGGAAAACCAAACAGGAAGTAGAAATGATGTAATGAGAACAGGAGAATTCTGGGAAGGAGAAAGTTGATTCCTTCCACTCCTGCCCAGACCACCAAAGCAGCAGGAAGAGAGCTGCCCCATTGAAAAAAGGTACTGAGCCATATGGCTAACATAGATCAGAAAAATGGGCTAATCAAGATGTGAGAGTTAGCTAATAAGAGAATAGAGCTAATGGACCAATCAGCTTTATAACTTACAGAGATCTTTGTGTGATTTTCTTTGGGACTAAACAGCTGGGGGTACCGGGCAGGACAGAAAACCCCAACAACAAGCAGGCACCCAGCCCGTTCATGTTACAGTTTTCTACCTATCAACAAAAATCCTTAAGTGCTATGTGTTGCTTAAATTAGTTTTAAATTACAATGTGTTGTAAATAAATATGGTCTTTGACTTAGGATGATTTAGGTTGTGGTCTTTTGTTCTCATTGTAGTATGAAAGCCATACAAGATCTGTAGAAACTGAAAAATGTTTGCATTTTATTCTTCATCAGGATAACTTTATACTGTTCTCTTTCACTCTCTTAGTGGTAGGCAGCTTCAGGAACCAGAGTTCCCAGAGGAACAACCCACACTCTACTTTGAACCAATCTCTAGCATTTTATTTTTTCCTTTTATTGAAAATATTTTTTTCCTCATATAATAGGTCCTGATTGCTGTTTCTCCTCCTTGTATTCCTCCCAGCTCCTCCCCATCTCCTCTCCCATCTATATAAACCCCATTTCTGTCTCTCATTAGAAAACAAACAGGCTTTCAAGGGTAATAATAAAATATAAGATAAAACAAAAACTAACACATCAGAATTAAACAAAGTAAACAGGAAAAGAGCCCAAGGGATGGCATGAGAAACAGAGTACTATTTGTTCACACACTCAGGAATTCTATGAAATCGCTATAGGAGAAGTCATAATACATAAGAACAAGCCATGTATGGTAGAAGAGAGAAGAAAAGTATAAGCAAAAGAAAAGAAAATAAGATACAATAAAAAAAAAGTAAGAAAGAAGAGCCTTTACAAGGCATAGTAAGACAAAGAACTTCCAGAGATGCCCTTGAGTCTGTTTCTGTTGTTCATCTATTCCTGGGCACTAGCTTTTTTTTTTTTTTTTTTTTTTTTTTAAAGATAAAGGATTTCAATAAATTTTACAAGCTGTTCAACAATTTTCTACAAAGTAGGCTTTGTGTTAAGTTTTGCCCAAAGGCTATGAGAATATCTAAGGTAGAGTATCAAGCTGTATGACCATAGGATGAATTTATGAGAGTATAGCCACACCGTAGGCTGAAGAACATCTACTGTTTTAAATAGTCTGACAGAGTGACTTCCTCAAGTTCAGAAAGTTGCCAGACCCAGTCTGACTGCAGTGTAGTGAAAAATTTTACTCATGACTGCTGTTAATTGTAATGGGAGTATGGAAGCTAATGATTTATATCTGACAGCGCTGCATTATGTATGTATTAAAACTGCAAACGAGCAGATAGCTGAGAAGCTAACAGCTGAGTGGGAGGGATTAAGAGAAGTCAAATTGCTATGTTTACCGTACAAATGTCATCATTTGATGTGATGACTGCTTTTAATTGTCAACTTCACACCGTATCAGAATTACCTGGGGAGACTCAATGATGCATTTGACTTAAGTGAAGTTTACCATTAAAATAAAATTTGGACTTTGAAAATGTTCGAATCTTCAAAGACTTGGAAACTTTTAAAGCTGAACTGTGCCTTACATCACGAGATAAACATGAGAGCCTGTGGACAAAGGATTGAACATTATGGTTTAAGAGTGATGTGTTGAGTTGTCAAGTTGACAAGAGATGTTGCTGTGGTTGTTGCTTTTAATTGTCACCTTGACACAATCTAAAACCATATGGGAAGGGCATAATGAGAAATTGTCTAGACTAGGTTGGTCTGCGGGTGTTTCTGCGGAGGATTATCCTGCTTGTATTAACTGAAGTGGGGAGAACCTCTTATTGTGGGTGACACCATTCCTTATGTAGAGAACCCCGCATTTTATAAGCATAGACAAAGTCAGAAGTGCTGGCATGCATGAGTAAATCCCTGCTCTTTGCTCTCAACCATGGATGTGTTGTGGCCAGTTGTTTCAAGTTACTGCGGCCTTGACTTCTCCACAGTGATGAGATGTAGCACAGAACTGTGGGTCAAATAAATATTTTCTCCCTTGTTGCTTCTGTAGAGAGTGTTAAAAATAAAATAAAAAATTTATTTTTGTTGACTGTCTTATAACTTCTTCCCACAAACCTAAGAAACAGTCACATGCTTAAAACAAAACCATAGTGTGTTTTGCTACTTGGGACATTTTCAGTTATGTGTGGCTTTTGGGGAAGCTCCATTGGGATAGACCTCAAAAGTGTGAAGAGTAGTTTGCTGAAGAAACAGGCAACAAAACAA